TCTCACTTCGTCACAAGGCTAGACAGCTCCCTCACGACAAGTCAAGCCGTCTAATTTTTTGCCTTAGAAAAATTATGTTCATTTTTATCTTGCTAGAGACATTATGATCACTACTCCTCTACTATCACATTTCAAGCCATCTGATCGTACCCCCCCCCCCCAGGTCGTGCTACTAGGGAGAAGACAACATGGCCTGGCATGGCTTGATGTATGACTCGGCATGTCAAGCCATCACATCGACTTGATGGCTAGATCTCCAGATCGAAGTCTAACAACTCTGTCTCTATTTTTTCTCTTTATCTTATTATTTTAGCCATGGTTGGCTACAAAATTTTTTATATAAACAATATATAATAACTACATTATATTTATTTATTTTATATGGCAAGAAGTGACAGACGTCACTACTCTCCATATCCTTTGGCAACAATCCAGAACCAAAGGTGTACACCCATTGCCAAGTCCATGGGTCAAACCAAGCAAGCCATCCATAGACCACATTACTCTTTTCCTCCATGATAGATGATTCTCCGTACATTAACTTTGAATTTTCTAGCTACTAATGTGTGGTACATGGTCATCGTGTCTAGTCTTGGTGGCCTTACATGGTGTCACATGCTTCTTTGTCTTGACCACCTTACTTGTCATGTCAAGATGACCACAAGGTTTCCTGTGTCTTGCTTGCCTCCTATTGAAATTGGAGTTGGGAAGATCACCTTCAAGCATATCATCATCGACACGGTCATTTAGACCATCCTCATACTCGCCTTCTTCTTCTTGGGAATTGTCTTCAACCCCCTCTTGGCCATTGACATCACTCCAAACTTGGACCTGGTTGCCTTTGTCAGTCACGCTCGCTTTGAGCCATGTGGTCATGGAGTTTTCCACCTTGATATCTTTGGTTGAATATTAACCTCTCTCCTCCATTGTGTCACACCCAGTATGTTTCCACGAGCCATTGGTAATTGGCCTTGACGTGCTTGAGCATTATTGCGAAGGAACATTCTTCTTTGGGTCCTTGTCATCTCAGCCACTGCTACTGGTTTCTGACGACGAGCATCATACGTATGCCATCCACCATGTGGAACATTTGGCATCTTGAATGTTCTCATCTTTTGGAGAGGAGCATGGGCCACTCATTGCCTCGGCTGCCCCCAAGCTGGGTGCCTCACTCCTTCCACTTGTCTCTCGTATGGCGTATACCTTGGCCTTGGCTTGTTGAGAAGATCAATTCTTTGATGAATCGATGGCCTCAGCTTTTCTTCGTCGAGTTTGAGACTCTTCTTGCATCAAGCACACAACTTGTCAACTTCATCAGTCATCATTGCGGTCGGGCTGCCTACTTGGTACCCGACGAGCTCCCTTGCTCGAAAACCACGTTGGGGCTCCTTCGAGGCGGCTCGTATCCAACACCAGGTTGAAGCGTGGCAACTCAAATTTGAAGAAGTCTGGGTTGACCATGTTGACGCCAAACACCTTTGGGGAACGGATCAGTGTCCACCAACATGGCATCCTTCTTTGTTTTAGGGAACTTGATACGTCCTTTTTCAATGACATCCTGCAAGACGTTACGGAACACCACACAAGCATCAGTGGCCTGTGACATGCTATTCTGCCACTTACAATACTCTTTCCTTTTAACTTCTCCGGTGGCGGGAAGACATGCCCCCCTGTCAACTTGACTTGACCATCCTTATAGAGTTGGTCAAAAATCAAGTCTGCCTTCGAGACACCAAAGGAGTACTTCCTTGGTTGAATGGGAGCACGATTGGGTTTCCCCCTTGCAACCCATCTTCAACTTTAGACAAGGAGGCACACACGTATGGCTTCCCTGGAGTTATCTTAGCCAAGTCCACCCCAACCTCATTAGCCTCGTGGCCAACATGGTTGATAGTGTAGTCTAAGTTTGGGAAGTAGGATCCCATTGAGGCACTCCTACGATTTTCTTCCTCATGTAGAAGAGACTCATACCTCACGGCGCAAGACATGAGTTGAAACAAGTCAGTGAACTCTCTATCTTGGAATTTCTTCATTAGTTCAAAACTCAAACCCCCTTGTGTCAACTTGACGAACTCCCTCTCCGTCAAATTGACAAAGCAACGATTACGAGCATTCTTGAAGTTAGTCAAGAAATGCTCCACCGATTCTCCTAGATGTTGGCACATACGTGCCAAGTCAGCCATGGTCACCTCAGGCTCAGATCTATAAAATTGAGCGTGGAAGACTTGCTCCATTTGCTGCCAAGTCTGGATGGAGTTAGACGACAAGTTGACGTACCAAGCAAAAACTGGCGCTGTCAATGAGTTGCCGAACAATCTTAACTTTATGAAATCTCCTACATCCCCACATTGGACCGTAAAATGTCCAACGTGCTCTACAGTGGACTGATCTCCAGTCCCTATGAACGTGGCAAACTCAGGGACCCTGAATCCTCTTGGAAATGGGTGGAGCCTGTTTACCCATTCTGGGTACGGCTTACGGTATGCAGGTGGCATGACATGTCTTACTCCCATGCCAAACTGCTCCGTGAGGAGTTGAGTCACTTGATCCCTAAGAGTATTGGTGTCATGTCCTCCTGGTTGCTCCCCATACGCTACAAACCCAATGGGGTCCATGTCATGCCCATTGAAATGTAGTGGCGTTGGAGTTGGGTAGCCTCGTGGTGGGATTTGATTCATGTTACCACCTAGACCTCCTCCTACTCCCAAATTGATGGGAGCTACGTAGTGTCTTGCCTTTGAGATAGAGGGACGAGCACTCACTTGCACGGGTGGCTGCTCAACTCGAGTGTTGAACATGGTGACGAGGTTCTCACCACGCGGGGGTACCACTTCAACTCCCACATGTCCATGTGACGACTCCCCCACTTGAGTAGTAGCGGGAATCTCAACATCATCTACTCATTGTGGCGGTTGTTGACTTGCCATCTGAGACGACAAGTTCTCTTGCCGTGGTTAGCCATTCCGGCCACCAGCGGGATAAAGAATATTATTAGTAGGCGTTGGGCTTGTGCCATCTACTGGCAAAGCTCTTGACTGCACTACTGGTCTAATTAGAGTTTGTCAAAACTGATCCAACTCATTTGTGTTTTTGTTAACTACCTCAAGTAATTAATTGAAATGTCTATCAATGCGAGAATTGAGACAGTCAATTTGATAATTTACCTGATGCGTACTAGCCCGAGTCTCCTCCATCATGCGACGGTTATCCATCATCATTTGGCAGTTCTCCTCTGTGGCTTGACGGTTCTCTGCCACCATCTTGCGGTTCTCCTCCGTGGCTTGACGGTTCTCTGCCACCATCTTGCGATTCTCCTCCATCATCTGACGAAGGGCTCCCACGGCTTCACCGAGATCTCCACCAGGAGTGGTCGCCACCAAGATCTCTGCTCCATCGTTTCCTCCGGTCACCACGTTGGACTCTTTGCCATGCTCGATGTTGGCCACCAGCTCCTCCACGAAACCAGCTGGAACGTCACCTTATTGATTCCTCCGCCTCGGAGTCATCGAATCGACCACAAGTGTCCCACCAGGTGTGCCAAATTTTCTTTCCATGCGAGAAAACTTGGGTTGAAATGAATTGATTGCACCTTGACTTCTTTGGACAACTCACAACTAACACGGTTCACACCTCTTCAAACACAGTTCGAAAGAGGGTGTTCGATGTTTACACGACTCTTGAGACATATCTACATTAAGTTACTCCTACTCCTATGGAGGGTCGGAGAGAGCTCCAGATCTACGACTACGACTGAAATTGCTGAGGATATGATAAAGGGATAAAAGTTGACATTGTGTTGTCTGGTGTGAATTTGGCGACTCTTTCTCTGTCAACTCCTCCTCCTATTTATAGCTTTGAAGTGGTAACCGTCGTAGAAAAACCGTCTGAGAGTAACTTCCAGAAAGAACTGCTCCCCTTCTTCCTCGGATGTGGCTGGCGTGTCCTTGCACGTGGGATGATCGACAGTTGCTCTGTTAACCGCTTACTCTTTATCTTGGAACTATCGTCTTGTTACTTGCCTCTCCCACATGACTTGCTTTCTTACTTCCAACTTGTTAGTTCAGATGATGGACATGGTCTAGACTCACGATGTGATATAGATCTCGCGACCACGTCGGGCTCTAAATTTGACGCCAACTTGGTCTAGGTCTCGCGACCACGTCGGGCTCTAAATTTGACGCCAGCGTGGTCTATATCTGCTACCACGTCGGGCTCTAAATTTGACGCCAACGTGGTCTAGATCTCACGACCACGTTGGGCTCTAAATTTGACGCCAACATGGTCTAGATCTCGCGACCACGTCGGGCTCTAGATTTGACGCCAACATGGTCTAGATCTCACGACCACATCGGGCTCTAGATTTGATGTCAACACGATCTAGATCTCGCGACCACGTCGGGCTCTTCAACTTGCGACGAGACTAGCTCCTTCTTGAAGACTTAATTAGTAGTTTGGGGCTTAAAACTATTATCATGAGGCTCAGTTCGAATAACATTAATTGTCATTAATGATCTGGCCTTATAAAGATAATAAATGCCTTGTAAATAATCAATGTGGTACACGATTATTTTCTTAACTGTAAATAGTATCGTTTGCTTGTGGGATTTGTGTGATGGATTTGGCACCCTAATCTCAAGTATCAAGGATTTCGCACAAATTCCTTGTTTGCTAAGGGACACAAATCCTTAGAGCCCACTGATTTTGACTCTTTTTTTAAATTCAAATCTGTGGACCCCACGGATTTGCAAATCCCACATTTTATTTGTGATTTGATAATAGAAGACGAATTTGTGAAACAAATCCATCATAAATTCTTGATAAAAATTTAACTAAAAACAAACATTGTACTCTTGCAAATCCATAATGTAACAAATCCATCATAAATATAAAAATAATAAAAAGCAGATGACTGGTTGAACTTGGCCACTGAATCCAAATTCCAATCTATTCTAGGTCTGACCATGAACTTCTATAAAACTGAAACAGACGAAACGCTTCGAAAAGCGAAAAAAAACTTGCTTTTAGCTTTAGGATAACCACTCTCATCAATCATCATCTTTCCACGTCAGAACCTATTGGTCCATTTCTCATTTGTCATTTCCAAATCCTCACTCTTCTACCCGCTTTTGTTAAAACTATCATAATTAATTCATAAGCCCCGTAACGCACGATCAGACTAGTCTCAGTCCTCTCCCATTCCTGGTCCTCACTTACTCCTTGACTAGAAGAAGATAATGGCGTCCATGGCGTCGGTTCTCCGGCGTAAGCTCAGTATACAGCCGTTTCTTCTCCAGCTGCGTTTCTTCTCCGCGGAATCGCCTCCGCAGCAACGGATAGAGAAGATTCTGGTAGCCAACAGAGGAGAGATTGCTTGTAGGATCATGAAGACTGCTAAGCGCCTAGGGATACGAACCGTCGCCGTCTACAGCGACGCTGATAAGGATTCGCTTCATGTGAAATCCGCTGACGAGGCCGTTCGTTTAGGTCCGCCTCCCGCTCGGTTGAGTTATTTGAACGGTTCGTCAATTGTGGATGCTGCAATTCGTACTGGTGCGCAGGTGAGGGTTCGAAAACAGCCTTTGGAACTGGATCAACTACTGCTCTAGCTTCTTTTGTTTGCCTCTACTGTGCGATACATTTCCCTACCCTTATAGTCGAGTATCATATATTACACTGGTATGATGTTTTGGGGCCACCAACTTGAATTTCGCATTTCTGAGATAGTTGACTTTTTGGCAGTTCTGCACTTGTGCTGCGATGGCTAGTTTATCGACTCTTGATGTTAATGGAGAAATGGTTAACTGCTCGTTGCAATATCTTGACTATTTTGTTCCTAATTCTCTCTTGCTCCTGTGAAGATCCTGAATTTTGTGAATCTTCTGTTTTTTTTTTTTTTTTCCACCTGCTCTACTTGAATTTTAATTTAAATGTATCTGTTGGATTATTAGGCTATCCATCCAGGTTATGGATTCTTATCAGAAAGCTCAGAGTTCGCTAAACTTTGCGAAGATAAGGGTGTTACTTTTGTTGGCCCTCCAGCCTCAGCAATCCAGGATATGGGTGATAAAAGGTGCTTATTAACTTTGCTAGCTGGTTAAACCTTTTCCTCAAGTAACAAATGATGTACACAGGTTGCCTGGGTCTCCAAATCCATATACTTGCTATTACTTTTGTGTCCACAAAGTAATTTTATTGCAACTTTTTATGATTTCATAAATTGACTTCTTTGTTGACATTCTATGTGTTTTATCAGTGCATCAAAAAGGATAATGGGTGCGGCAGGGGTGCCGCTTGTACCGGGATATCATGGTAGCAATCAGGATATTGAATTTATGAAGTCGGAAGCAGATAAAATTGGATATCCTGTTTTAATCAAGCCGACGCATGGCGGTGGAGGAAAGGTTTGCCATTTGGCACATTTCTTTTGCCTTTTTTTTTTTTTGTTTGTGTGTGTGAATAGCATGTTCTGTTGTATACCATGAGCATCAGTTACTTCCATAGAAAGTTCTATGGGCTTAATCGCTCAAACTTGGAAGAATGCCAAAAACAAAGAATAGCCGAGTATTTATTCAATGTGGCTTCTCTCTTTGACATATTTATCTGGAGATTCATAGATAATCGATATAGGTTTAATATGCAGCTTGTTTTGTTAAGTTCAATATTCTTTTGGATGAGGTTCTTACTCTGCAGGTTTTTAGGGAATGAGGATAGTGGCGACTCCAAAAGAATTTGGGGACTCATTCCTTGGCGCACAGCGTGAGGCTGCTGCTTCTTTTGGTATAAATACAATATTGCTAGAGAAGTATATAACCCAGCCGAGACACATAGAGGTCCAGGTATATCGTTTTTCCTGTGCAAGTTGGCTTGGAATTTCTTGCTAACAATTCTTGGAACTTTGCTCAGCTTTAATTCTCTGGATTCTTTTGTACTAGGTATGGCTGATTTCTCGTTGGTCTTCTTGCTTTGGCTTGAACTTGTAGGTATTCGGAGATAAACTAGGCAATGTACTGCATTTATATGAAAGGGATTGCAGTGTGCAAAGGAGGCATCAGAAGATTATTGAAGAAGCCCCTGCTGTAATGCCTGGTTCTGTGATTTCAGTTTAATTAGTGGTGAAAAGGGGGTATGGTTGTAATCATAATTTGGTTGATGCAGCCAAATATAACTCATGACTTCCGCTCCCATCTGGGTCAGGCTGCTGTATCTGCAGCTAAGGTAATATGAGTTCATTTTCTTCTGCTAAATGGTGCCATATTCAATTTGAATTCACTGTCAGATTGTTACTGGGTGATCACTCAGCCGCTCTTGACATGTGATGTTAAACTTCATTCTTTCATGGATCTCATAACAATATTCCTTCTTCTTTGAAGTAAGGATGTATATCAACAATTTGTTACGTTACTGAAGTCCTCTTGACTTCCTTTCTGTGGTCCTTGTCTTATTGTCTTGCATTGAAGAATGTAAAATCTTTGATTATATTTTTCTAGATCATGATACTCTTCTGCAGAAATTTGTCAGTTTTTTTTATGAATAGAAATTTGTCCGCTTATTCGGCAATGTGGAAAATTTTGTTGCTTCAGTCTAATTTATCTTGAAAACTGTGTCGACTTTTTTTGGGGTGCATTTCAAGCTTCATCTAAACACCTTTAGCTCTCATCTACAAGTTCACTAATGAAGTCTTCTTACATGTTAAAAGGCTGTGGGTTACCACAGTGCTGGAACTGTGGAGTTCATAGTGGATACTCTCTCTGGGAGGTTCTATTTTATGGAGATGAACACCCGTCTGCAGGTAACAGAACAATCTAACCTCCCAATATCTTAAGCTCTTTCATGATAACAAATTTCTATAGTTATTCTGCTGTAGGTTGAGCATCCTGTGACTGAGATGATTGTTGGTCAAGATCTTGTGGAATGGCAAATCCGTGTTGCTAATGGAGAACCCTTGCCAATTAGCCAGTCAGAAGTACCATTATCTGGTATTTATATCTAATTTTGTATTGTACAGCTGGAGGTCTCATTAAGTTGCACGAACAATGGATTGTATGCATGTTTGTCAAGCCCAGCTTCTGCCATCTTCCCTTCTTTCCATTTATTTTGGGTTCAAAAGGGGACTTAAAAGGGTGCCCGTGCCTGATACTTAAATTAATCGAGACTGGGCAATACATTGGATGTGCATGTCTGAAAAGAAGAACTTTTTCTTTTCTTCTATTTTTTTCCGGCGAATGTTGTTCCTTTTTATTAGCTCCAGCTTGATAAAACAAGCATCTCTCGAAAAACAGCTGCAAATTTTGCAGTTACTTTGTTACAACAGCAGAACCAAAGTATTAGCAGCTAACTACATAACACTCTAATTCATAAAAAAAAAAAAAAAAAAACTACATAACACTCTAACTACTGCTAACTACAGAACATTTGTAACTATATTGAGACAAAAGCATGGAATACTGGATGGCTACTCAATTGGTGAGCAAATTCAGAATTGCCGTCCCTATAAAAGCATGGAATACTGCTTGATAAGGTCTTCACTCTTTTCTTCTATTCAAAATTAAAAGGTTTGTAAAACATGAGGCTCAGGTAGAGAAAGGGTTATTTACCCTCTCTTGATTGTCTAAAAGGCTCAGTTTAATGCAGGTTTCCCCTTATCCAATGACCGTTGAGTTCGTAGGTTGTTTGATTTCTTTGTACAATTATCATTTTTCTTTCTTAGTAATCACTAGCATTTTAGCCCGGCCAATGGCCGGGAGGTGTCTGGATGTCTGCACATTACTTCAAGAATATTGCTTTTTAATTTTAGATAAACTAATTTCTAAATTGACATTTTTTTATTTAATATAGAAGAATTTTATAATTTTATATAGCATTGGTGGTATGGGGTTTTGTCTTTATGGTACAACTTGAAATTTTACCTTTAATGTTATGTGACAACTTCATATTGTACCTATACTATTTTATGGTACAATATGAAGTGCATGAACTTGTACATTTATGTGACGATACAATTTTAATTTTTAACGTTATAGTACAATCTAAACTTATACATTTAACGTTATAGTATAAAGTTGTACATTAAAGTACAAATTCTTTATAGCATAATAGAAATGCTCTTTAATATAAAGAATGCATGTTTGTAAGCGATGACATTAAACTCTTAATCGAAAAATATTGTTTATTTACTAAATCTATCGTGAACATACCTTAAAAATTCTCATTCTTTAAATATTATGTCAATTTATGATGGTTAAACTCTTTAATATTGACGCATTCTTTTGGGGGAGTATTTCTATAATTTTATTTGTTTTAATGAACTGGTTGTTTATCAAGTTTCAGTGTAGCGTCTTATATAACGATTTGTATAATTGAAGACAATCAGATCCATAATCTTGAATAATATATGCTCCAAATTTCTGGTGTATATATGCTCGTTCGGTAGTTAATCAGTGTCTAAAACTGCACTATACTGGTAGTTCGACCTAAAAGGTCTCATACCAATAGTTAAATCGGTTGGCAGCTTCAAATGATATGAAATGGTTGAACGATAGTTAAACCATGATTTCAGCACCAATATCCTATGTTGATTTTTTAAGTACAACCTATATGATTTATAGCCCTTATAATAAATTTGTTTCTTAAAATTTGTGGTTTCAAATTTGAAAATTCTTATTGAAATAATGAAATTTTAATGTACTATAGTAGGAACTTGCACACTTTTTTTTTTATACTTTTGCTTGGTGAATATTATCCGGAATAAATTACCCTTTTATTTTGTTATTTTTTCTGGTGGGTGGGTAAATTTGAAATGTAGGTAAACAAAAAAACAAACAAAAAACGGGAAAACAAAAACAAAATAAGGGGAAAAACTAATAGTTCCGAAACTTGCGGGCAATGCTCCGAGGCTTACGTGGCAACCGGCTTTTTCCAAACTGTTTTAATATTTTGTAAGATTCCCTCTGCTTTTAATTTTTATTATTGAACAGGTCATGCCTTTGAGGCTAGAATATATGCAGAAAATGTCCCCAGGGGGTTCCTTCCTGCAACTGGAGTTCTTCACTACTATAACCCTGTTCCAGCTTCATCAACAGGTGAGGAAGCAATGCAAATTGTTAATCAGAGTTGTCTACTAGTAGCTGTATGGGTCCTTGTAAAAGTGGTGATGAATGGCTCCTATTTTGTTAATTTATGGTGAGAAAGGGTTTGAGGCTTAACGATGTAGGACAGATTTGGGGGAAATGTCTGACTTTATGTGCTTCCTTGTGGTGCAAGTAGTTCCGAGAGCGGGGTTTGGGCAGTCTACGGCTGATTTAGTTAAGGTTGGTTATTTCTGGCACAAAATAACTTATGGGTCGATACTCCCCACCATTTCCTGTCAATACAACTTAAATAGTTATAAAAATGAGCAAATTCCTACTCAGCATCTGAACTACTTCGAATCAATAGTATATTCCTGAATTAGTGTAGCAAACATTTAGAGCCCATTCTCTTTGGTAGCTAAATCCATGATTGCTGTATTTCTGATAAATAAATTTCTCTTTCGACATAAATGCACCACCAGCTTCTAGTGAGTGCATAATCTCCTGAAGGTTATTTGAGGTTTTTCTTACATTTAATCATCCTGACTAACAGTGCGGATTGAGACTGGAGTTGCACAAGGTGACACTGTTAGCATGCATTATGATCCTATGATTGCAAAGCTTGTAGTTTGGGGGGAAGACCGTGGTGCAGCATTAGTGAAACTGAAGGATTGTTTATCCAGATTTCAGGTATGTCATCTCCAAATTAACAGACTTCTATTGCTTGTTATAAGTTGCAATTATCTCTTGGACAGCTACGGCTACTAAGCTCTAATGGAACCCTGGATTTTTCGATGTTGACAGGTTGCTGGTGTACCGACTAATATAAATTTTCTCCAAAAGCTTGCTAACCATGAGGAATTCAAAGATGGGAACGTGGAAACTCATTTTATTGAACACCATAAGGACGATCTTTTTGTTGATCCTAACAATTCAGTTTTAGTGAAAGAAGCCCATGATAAGGCCAAATCTCTTGCATCCATTGTAGCTGCATGTCTTTGTGAAAAAGATAATGATGCTTTAAGTGCAAATCTCCCAGGTAAGTCAAAGACTATCTGTTTTCCGTTGTTGAACATTTCACCAGTTTGGTTGAAGGCATATAAAACCAAAGTGTTAAATATATCCAGGGGCTACAAGTTCGCTCTCAATATGGTATTCACAACCCCCTTTCAGAGTTCATCATAATGCTACACGGACCATGGTATTTGAATGGGATAATGAAAGTGGCACAAACAGCTCGAATCTCTTCACAATTTCAATCACTTACCAGCAAGATGGCTCCTATCTGGCTGAGGTATTTCTCTACTTAATAGTACACAAATTTATTTTGTAGGGGGTGCTTTTACCAACATTTTGTGTATCACGCAGGTGGGAGAAGTTGGTTCTGCTGGTGTGGAGGTTAAACCGATACATCTAGACAAGCACAATTTCACAGTTGAAGTTGATGGTGTGAGCATGCAAGTTAATTTGGCTACTTACGTCGAGGTAATATCCCTTTAATGCTAAAATCTTTGCCAGAGGATGTAGATTCATTCTAATTTGGCAATTCTACCTAAAGAGATAACTGCTGTCGAATGTCGAGAGCTATTATTTTTATCAAGTAAAGCATTTATGAAGTGCTCGGACTAAATAGACAAGTCACTACAAGTTGGAGCCAGGGAATTTTTTTATAGATTGTTTGGTGAGAGGACAGCTCCTGTTTACTGACACATGCGAGAGTTCATGGCATTCCCTCTTTGCAGAGCTCGAGCCTTTATCCTGAATACATTATCTAGGTTTTTAATCTTTATTTTTTTTTGCTTGTCCAATTGAAATTGCAGCTTTTTAACCAACTAGGGGAAATAAACATAATGTTGGATGTTTTACAGTCGTTTAATAAGAAAGGAAATGTAGCACCTTTATCTCATTTCTGGTTCTCGGTGTTGCATGCTGGTGACAGGGTGGGGTAGAGCACATTCATGTATGGCATGGATCAGAGCATTACCAGTTTAGACAGAAGCTTGGGCTGGAGTTTTCCGAAGAGGATGAATCTCAACAGAAGACCAATCTTGGGAATGCATCTCACCCTCCAGGAAGTGTGGTTGCTCCAATGGCTGGTTTGGTTGTTAAGGTTCTGTTGAACAATGGAATGAAGGTTGATCAAGGCCAACCCGTGTTAGTCTTGGAGGCAATGAAAATGGAGGTCTGTTGGTTTACTGTCTGGCCTTATTGTTTTATCCACTATTTTGTTCTTGCCCTTGGTGATATGCTCATTAGTTTGAAACCTATTCATTGCACAGCATGTAGTGAAGTCACCATCTTCTGGATATATTCATGGACTTCAAGTTGGGGCTGGCCAACAGGTTTCAGATGGTAGCTGCCTCTTCATTGTCAAGGTTGGTTATTGTTGTTTGAAGCCACTATAAGTCTATAAGGCTTGTATTAGGATTGGATCTAGTTTTACAGTTTCATTTATCAATTAGATGATCATTTACTCGTTTTCAACTAAGTGCAAGATAGATGATCAACTAGAAAGATTGGATACACTGTTTAGAAGGATTTGTGTGGTAGTAGAATTTGTTACAGAAAATCAAACATAAGCCGTATTTATAGCCTGTAGAAACAACTTATGGATTGTGAATCTCCTATGTTGGTTCCCCACTCTAGCTCACCTGACAATTGGATTCTTCCAGTGTGATGTCTGATGTCTCCCTGCCTTGTGTTCGATGAACTGTTCAACAACCCTTCCAAGTTTTACCTTATTCGGAGAATCTTCGTTTATAAATAGCATGTTATGATGGAACCATAACGATTATACTTTTTTGTATGGTCAGGATCAGTAAAAGTCTGCCCTGAAGTATGTTCGGTTGAGAGAAAACTGGTAAAGTGCGCCAACCAAGTGACTTGTTCTGTCATTGACAAAGTTAATCTTCAGCAGGTACGACCTCCGGACTTTTCCTGGTCTCCACAAAGCATAACTCCCCTGGCGTAAGAGAGGGATGCCACGGCTGTACGCTGTTTGTAAGTAGTTGTGTTTCTGCAGTAAATGCTACATAATCCGTCTCTCAGCTTCTTACTTCCGACTGCTCCCTGCTGCTGGTTAGGCTGAGGCTGACCATGCACTGCACTGCACAAACATAATAAATAAATAAATAAGAACTTCCCTTTTGGGACGCTTGTAGAGTTACTGGCTTCTTGCTGTTGTTACAATCTGGGCAGTAAGAACCCCATGAACGGAGTCTTGAAAATGAGCAAATTGTAGAACTTCAGTCGTAAAATGATTAGGGGAGTTCTTTAGAATATGCACGTAAGATGCATTGAGTGGCCAGTTGGAGCATCTTAACCTTGCTTATAAACTACATAAGAGGTAATACCCCTCCTGGAATCCAAAACACTTGACACGATTTGGATTCCTTGACATTCCATTCGACCGCTTCATCTGCTCGAGTATTTGCTCCAACTCATTTGGAAATCATGAGATGTGGACTTGGATGAGGTTTTGTTCGACGACGAGGAAAGTCCCACCGGGGGTCATCGTGTAGGCAATACAACACGGTTGCTGGAGATGGAGACCATAACTTTGGTGGAAGGAAAGATTCCCATAGAGACTTGGAAATTGACAAATCTCATGGAACTCGATGTGAATGGCAGCAAACTCTCTCTCTCTGTGGTGTAATTCCTGCAAATTCGCTGTAGTTGAACAAGTCGAAATCTTTGCATTTGCAGGAGGGACAACTCTCTTCCCCCCAACTCTATGTTGTCCATTCATAACATTACTCAATTGCACGTAGGGTTCCAACTTGGTAGTTTGAATTGTCCACCGTTGAGCAGCTGTATTTTCCCAACTGAGCTGCCAATTTTCAACAGGCAATTTGGCTATCAGTGGGTAACCGCTAACCACACAGGAGAGCGGTAATTAATCAATCAACTTATATTCATGCCCAGGATTTGCTGTGAATTTTCTTTCTTCCCCCTCATTTTTTTATTGTTTCGTTTCGTTACCCTTATGCTGTTAATTTCGCGGGTCGAATCACAAGCAGGAGAGTACTCTAGTCTCTCTAAATAGGGAGTAGATCCGGTGAGTAATCTTGTGGTGCTATAACTCCATGGATAATAAGAAGCAATCCCCAGCGTTTGGGGCAACACCTGCTCAATAAAAATCCGTCACATCAGTGTCTCTTTCTCTCTAATGGAAAAACCTTTAATTTTCCTTTTCTTAATCTTTAACAGATGATTTCTCACTCGTTTTAACTCGTAACGACTAAAAAACGAA